CAAAACAGCTGTTTAACTCCAAAATCTCAAGTCTTAATTTGCTCGCTGTGTTGTATGACAGTTGAGATTGCGATGGGACTGTAATGTGGAGTGTTGGTGATGGTCCCTGAGGGAGGTTGAGGCAATACAGGAGCCAATAAGCTGGTCAGTTACCTCCAGGTGATGTATCGTCGATAGCGGAGCGTGACCAGTCAACATTGCCACTGTTCACACCCAGGAGTGTATTGTAAATTACGATTTACTGACTTTCCCACCTTCAATACAACTGTTCAATCTCTACGTTATCCGACATATGAGAAATCAAATTCTACCTTTTTAAGTCATGAACATTATTTTGTCAAATTTAAATAGTTATTTGTGCAACAAGTAGGCTAAAAGGCTCTTTGTTGCCCACGAGAGAAATGTTTACGCACGAGCCGTAGTCGAGTATGGAAAGTTTCTCCGGTGCAGCAAAGGCAGTCGTGTCAGATGTCTGTAGGAAACAAATTTTTATGTATTTATTTGCATTCAGTAAATATACTAATATTTAGACTGTGAAAAAAATTTTTGAATCAGTAAAAATAGATTATTTTTTGAATCTTTATATTTCTGAAACTCGTCCTTATATGGCACATAGTCGTGGTGGTTCTTAACAGTTAACTTCATGGCCCAACCTTTTTTCAGCGTAAAGTGGCCGTTTCACAAAAAAATGAGAAGATATTAATTTAGTCGAGTCAATTTTAATTATTCATCTGGCTACGAGGTAAAGATTCTTCTTCATTCTTCTACAGCCCAATTAACTTTTCTAAATTTGAGCTAAATCAAAACCCATATTATATGAAATCATTATGTAAAATCTAAATATTGAACCATAGAGAACAAATCCTCTTTACAACCCAATATCTAATGACTGAACAATGAACATAACTCCTCATACAATTCTAATTCTTATGGATCAGGTGAATATACAGTAAAAGGAAACAGCTCGTTGTAGTGGACAAGTACGTTGTAATACTAGTCAAAGCAAGTACTAACAACGGAAACAAATCACTTGTCAATAGAGTATTCTAACAATGAGATGTTTAAATAATCTTAACTCCTTTTTATTTGTGAGCAAGTTAGGCAAATCTGTAAGAGAATCAATATATAAAATATTCAACTTCCTTGTTCAATTGTCGAGAGTTAAACGAAATGAGAGGCACGGGTGATCCTATTACGGACTCTAATCGATGTTGTTAGAGCAAGCGGTCGTTTAAATGCTAACTCAGACACTCTCTGACGCGAAACTCAATTCTTTTACTCGACTTCGCAACCACCATCCCTATCAGGAATGTAGATGCTAATTTATACAACATGAAATATATAAAGAGTGACGGAACACCTGATGTTACTACTGCCACAACCTAGCATATCGAGTTATTTAAACACAAATTGTGGTAAAAATTAGTAACGTACTAATTACTTAATTTAAATAAAACATTAGCAGCAAAGTAAATGGACACACAAAGACCTTCGGTTAAGAAGTGTGAAATTTTGGTCTGACACATAATTGCACTTCTTAGATAAAGTAAGAACTTTCGACCAACCTTAGATAAAACAGTACCAATCTGGATTCTTCATGCATATTAGTACTAGGTACGTATTTTTGATCAGCTTACTTAAAGACGAAGCAAAATAAACTCATCTTCATTAACATCATAAAAAAGTACCTAATAGTAGCCAATGAGTAACATGAAGTCCTCTGACTTACATGCTATATTATTCAATCCAGTCCAGTATACTCCCAACTATGAGAGGTGAAAAAAAAACACTTAACATCAATTAGGATTTAAAACAACGGTGTAGCTTTACCTAGCAAAATAATGCATTTTTCACGTGACTAGATATTACAATAAAAGTGCAATAGTAACTTGTAAAGCTCGTTACGGGGCCCATAACACCTCCTTTATAGGTCGTAAAACTGTAACTGTTTCCATTCACTTTAGCGGGAGCTTTATAATCTTACCTATTTGCGAGTTGTAATTAATTCGGTTAACATTTCAGGACCTACAAATATAAATAACGTTGTTGACTTAACGAGTTGTTTTCCCTACTATCAATAACTACCGTGTTAGAGACTCGAGTAAAATAATAATGTAACAACAAGTAAATAATAATATATCAAGAAGTAAGATACTGATTTGGGTAGAGTTGTAATAACCCTCTTAGAATGTTTGCTTGCGTCATGTAACCTTAGATAGCATTGAACTTTTCTATTTATATTCTGAAAATAAATAAATAATACTAACTGTAATTATTTAATGAAATGAATTTTTATGGAAATATGATCTTATAATGTAATTACGCAAAACCCTAAATACAATTTATTCCTCATCCCTAGGACGATCTTTTTCATCTTCACCTCTATTCAACAGAATTGAAAATACAAAAATTAAATTCAGTAATTAATTTACCAGGATTTCCGATAAAAAGTTCCATTTGCGTAGTAAATAAAAATGATGTATTCCTACTACTTATCCAACAGTAAAACTTCAGTTACGCAATTAGTTAAGTTCTTCCTAACAATATTTTACACTCCTATAATTAACGTACTATCTATTAAATATTTTTATGACAACAATTATTTATTTTTTGTGAAACTATAGGAATATGCTGCGATAAAAAGGAAACCAATTACTTAAAATAAGTATGTTTCACCAATATAAACAATCTAGTTAGACACTAATGGAAACCTACTATTCGAAACTCATTAACAGCATCAGTCTGTTACAATTGTTTAATTTGATAATTTAATAATTTGTAATAATTATTGGTTTTAAAATTGTTGGTTTTATTTACTGAAATGAGGCAGCTGAAACAGGTGTGTAAAGCAGTGTATAGAACTGTGAGGGCGGAGCGTGCAATTTGTCATCTCATCCTGGTACAACACTGACACCCTATGACACTTCTCACTAGTGCTAATGACACTGTAAATACCACAAAACTTGTTAAAAAGCCAATAAACTGTTAACATTTGTAAAACATTTCCTTTAACAAGTGTTAGTAATTTTCTTACAGCAAGGTCTTAATATAACGTTTTGTTTTTATATATATACAACAACCTTATTTTGCCGAGGTCCTACTATCCATGTTAAATACAATATATAATAAAATAAAACATAAATTTATAGATGTTATTAAATTTTGTTGGTTATGGAATGATTTGTACCCTGAAACTGGTGACAATGCTTGAAAATACTAAAATATAAGATTAGAACAATTTTACGAAAACAATTAATTGTAGTCTATATTGTTCGTTGTTCTTCGCATACCTACTAGTAGTACTTACTGAAGTTCCTCTAAGGTGTTGTCTAATAGATGGGATAACATGAAATTAGTATACATTATACCAAATAATAACATACAACATTTACGTTAAATAATTTTGGCGTCGGAACTTTATGATATAGTTTGGCTGGTAGCTTAACTACAATGGTAACAACAAAACTGCTGTCCGGGGCTCGTATGGTGACAGCATTATTTAAACATGCAAACCCTATTACCTCCGTTATGTGAAGGACTCAAAACTGCCCTCACTGCAACTAACACTGCAAAGTAAATTGATCAAACAGAAACTCTGTAAACCAGTAATTGTAAGTGTGGTTGTTTGAACGCTGAATTCCATTTGATTTACACATAATATTTATAAAACTAATTCAGTCGAAGAAAATTACATACAACTTTCACAATTGGCTTTTTTGTATTGAAGACTAACACTGCAAAGTAAATTATTGATCAAATGTAGTAAATTATCTGTAAACCAGAAATTGTGAATATGGCTGTTTGAACGCCAAACATTGAATTATATTTCGTTTACATAATCTATATATTATTAGGCAAGCATGTTTATTCAAAACCTTTTTTCTCAATTCGTGTTCATCGAGGGAAAATCTACGCATACTGTTAGAAAGATATTTTCCTGTAGATGTGCAGAATCTCTTAAATAAGCTCAAAAATAAGCACGAAAAATGGATTTAAAATTTTATAAATTAACATGGGCCTTATGGGTTGCCATGCTGGTGACGAAATTACAGCGAAATATAAACAGAAAATCAAAACAAATTGAAGAAATGCCAATTACGTTTTATTTACAGCGTGGGGTGAAGTTTGACATTACATATTTTTGGTCGAGTTTTCCACCACTGGACGACGTTTAGTATTAATAAAACAAAGTCAGTCAAAGAAAATTGCATACAACTTTAACCATTGAATTTTGTGTATTGAAGACTCATTTTAATACAGTTTCAAGCACGTCGAACTAAAGCGGGTTTTAGTTACATAATATACATGTTGATAAGAACTAGATGGATTGGTTTGATGTCCAGTTCATGTAAAACAGTGTTTTTACATGATTTCTGTGGCTTACCTCCGAAAGTTCTAAACGATTGTAATATTATGGTAAGATACCAGATTGTTTAATTATTTAAACTATTGAAAAACATAAATAACTATTTTTAACATTGACGCATTGCTTTCATCCTCTGATTGTTTAGAAACAGTACATTTACTGGTGTACATCATACTACTTTACTCTTAAAAGAGCGATGGTAAAATAAACTAGGAGGAGACTGTGAACTCTGTATATGGACCACAATCAGTCTCCTGTCTGTTTTATTTCACATTCATCTACTGAAGTCTTTATCTGTATCTGATAGTGACTTTACAAATGACGGCGCTTTTCTAAACTGGTTTTGTAGTTGTAAATGCTTTTATATAAATAACAACCCATTCAGAAATGCCACAGAAGATGGCATTCACTACTAAACTTGTGCCCAACTAATGGAATAACCAACAAAAATGTTATTCCATTGTCCATTTTTAATACTCACAAAAACATAAACACGCACGGTTCAAATTTTTATGAGTTCAATAAGTGACAATCGTCTTAAAAGTGATATTTGTGCCTATTATTTTACCTTTATTTAACATAACATTTATGTGTAGAGTGGGTTATAAATAAATAACAATATTTTTGGTTGCAGATTCGTTAGCATCCAGTTGAGATTATCTGTTTCTGGTGAGTTTGCATCCAACCATTGAGATACTGTATTTAATTTATAACAGCTTTCATATAATATATAGAATAAACGATTAAGGCTATTCGGCATAGAGGCGTGGCTGTGATGAATAAACTTTGACATACTATGGTTAAATTATAAGATTATTTAAATTTTATTTATGGTCGAAGTTAGATATTAACAAGACCAGGGTTTGGACCTTCCCTGTTAAAAACGTAAAAAATACCACTGTCGTAAAAACACACACAAAATATTAGATAAAAACCCCACGTGCGATTGCGTACAACCCAATGCAATCATATACGTCATAAGGATAGTAATAAAGTAAATTTAACTCTATTTGATACTTTTAATATACGAAATTAACCATATCAGTTTAACTATTACCACATTTAGTAGATAAATATTATTTACTTATTCTTTAAAGCACTTTTAAGTTTTTATATTTTTTTTTTGTAAAAAACATTTTATTTAAGTTTTTAGTTTTTGCTTAGAATAAGTGAAACTAAATTCCAGTTAAAAGACTCGGCTGTGACTTGACGGGAAATGCAGGGATTTGAGCCGAGTCTCATAAATTAACTGAGGCTTAGGCGGCACATCGGGTAGCTCCATTGATACAATACCCAGAAACCCTTAATTTACTTACTCTTTATTTTCCTGGACTGAATCTTGCCATTTATAAATTACACAATTTATCATAATGTGATCATTGCTAAATATTCACTGAAAATGTTAAAAAAACTGTTAGTAAGAAAATATTAAACATTAAAGTTGCGTGTTATTGAACTCTAATAAAATATTTCAGGTCAGATAATAACTTAAGTGAACCATAACCAAAAAATGCATCACCTACGATCTTCCACATTAAATTTCTTAGTTTCATAAAAAATATGTATACATTTCTAAAGATCTCTTAAACCTTAGCAGTCAATTACCGTTTGTGATATTAAAGGCATAAATCAACCCCCGTAAGTTATGTAGTATGTAATTACTTGTAGGACTGACGAATGTAGGCGCCTCCTCGACTCTGAGGATTAGTCTTCTGAGGTATTTACTGTGGATTTATTTCTCTCTCGTTAGTTACCCTGTCACATTTGTTGGATGGAAACACTTGTAAATCATGTTAAAACTATTCTAAACTGTGTTTGTGCACATATCTCTTCAACATCAATAACTCAAGGGTCGGCTCTTTTCTTTCACCAAAACACTTTGTCTCAAGCAAAGTGTGAAAACAACAGTTGGGCCGATCTTTCCTTTATCGAAAATTTATGTCCTTTAGCAAAAGAATTCCATTCTTAAACTGCCATCCAAAGTTTGGCATACACGGATATGTTAAAAGTCAAGTATGTATTTTCCCGCTTAATAAGTTACGTATGCAATGACTTGCCAAGTTATAGTTTTTGTTGAAACATTAAAATATTTACACTTTATTACCTAAAGTAAGCATACTCGCATTTTAAATGTGAATATACAACGATACTACTAGCTGTTACCCAAGGGCTTCACCCTGTTTGACTTCATAAATATTAAAAACTATTAATTGGTTAATAATATAATATTAGTTAAGATGAATTAACGAAACAGAATACAATAACACAAACTAATAATTTCACCTGATTTTAGTAAGTCAAAAAATTGAAAGAATATTAATTTTTAATGTGAATATACAACGATACAGTTATAGCTGTTACCCACGGGCTTCCACCCTGTTTGACTTCATAAATATTAAAAACTATTAATTGGTTAATAATATAATATAAGTTAAGCTGAATTAACGAAACAGAATACAATAACACAAACTAATAATTTCACCTGATTTTAGTAAGTTAAAAAATTGAAAGAATAACAAACAAATAAAAACTAATAAATGAGGATTTTTTGACAGAAGATATATGGAAAGTTCTCTTTAGAAAGGAATTACGACATTAAAGGCCAATTTATGAAATAATTGATAGTTTTGGGCAAGGTTTCTCGTCATGACGAACATTTAAAGTGTATGGTTTATGGGGCTGTGACTTGTAGGTTTCTCAAAAGTTCATGGGTACTTTGGGATTTATATATGGATATCCTGTTTTGCTAGTAAAAATACTTTGAAAAAATAATAAACTAATATTCTTTGATTGTGCAAAGATTAGTATATACAATAACATTTGTGAAGTGGTGTACCTAATACAGATTTTTAAATTGTTTGTATTTACACAATTCAAACCCTAACCAAGTCAAGTTATTAACAGGGGAGAGCTCTAGAGAATTACAAAGTAACAATTTGAAAACAACGTTATTAAGAAATTCACGGTTTAAAGAGGTAAGTTTAAGTGCTCGTTACATCAGCACCAAAGATACAACCTTAATAGCTCATAAAGCTGTTAAATGTTCTCATCAATTACGCGGGAAAATTATTACGTCGCAACGTGTAGCATTACGGTTCTCTTCGCACCTTTGTTACGAGGCATTGGATGGATGCACGCATAGATGCGAGGCATTGGATGGATGCACGCATAGATACGAGCCATTGGATGGATGCACGCATAGATACGAGGCATTGGATGGACGCACGCATAGATACAAGACATTGGATGGATGCACGCATAGATGCGAGGCATTGGATGGATGCACGCATAGATACGAGACATTGGATGGATGCACGCATAGATACGAGCCATTGGATGGATGCACACATAGATACGAGGCATTGGATGGACGCACGCATAGATACGGGACATTGGATGGATGCACGCATAGATACGAGCCATTGGATGGATGCACACATAGATACGAGGCATTGGATGGACGCACGCATAGATACGGGACATTGGATGGACGCACGCATAGATTCGAGACATTGGATGGATGCAAGCATAGATACGAGACATTGGATGGATGCACGCATAGATACGAGCCATTGGATGGACGCACGCATAGATACGGGACATTGGATGGACGCACGCATAGATTCGAGACATTGGATGGATGCACGCATAGATACGAGACATTGGATGGATGCACGCATAGATACGAGACATTGAATGGATGCATAGAATAGAGTAATTCGCGTGAAGGGATACGCGACAACAGTTATATTAAGTTCAAGGCTAAGGTACAAATTAATTAAGATAATGTGCGATATATTCCACAATAATTTTTGGCTGATGGATACTAAACAAATGTGGTTATTTGTTTTTTAAAAGGACCGCAATACCCTTCATTCAACAATTATATAGCAACATCATATTATAATATTTTTTTAGTATATGTTCTTGCAAAGTTTTATACTAGCAACGTACGGTAGGGTCTGAAAATTCAGTTATATTCAAGAGTTTTAATGCAGAAGCTTTTCGATAAGTTAATATATTGTGTTTACTGTAGTATCATATTTATGTTCCTAATTATCCCTAATAACTGAATATCTTATATTACAAGTGGCTTATATAGGTGTCGTACATGTGACAATACATAATTACTGTATAATTGCAATCTGAGAACTGTATTGTCAACACCCCACTTCATGCTACACACGTTCTTCACTCATATTTGGGTTAAAATACGTACCTAGATGGCGTCCCATCTCAATTAATAATGATAGTAATAATGATAATAACAATAATGACGACAAGATTTTGTTAGAATGCATTATTAAGTCAGCACAATGTCGAATGGCAAGTTGTCAACAACACACAATTGCAATGGAAACCTTATTAAATAAGCCACTGTCCAGTGTCCGTGTCCCTGGTATATCAGTGCCACCTCTGCTGTCCCACGTCTCTCTCAGTTAAATCTGTAACAACTTTATTACAGCGGTCACAACAAAACTGCACTCTGGAGCCAACATGAGAGCTGTGTAAATAAACACACTACATTAACTCGCCACTGCCGCTGCCGCTACACTGCAAACACACTGGTTACTTCTAATATCATACTTTTCACTGTGGTCTCCAACAAACTTCCTTCACTTGTTTACAGTCAAGTGACATGTGACTGTTTTAATTTTTTTAGAGAGAGGCGGGAAAATGTGTTTACGCACACAGGTTTCTAGACTGTAGTGTGGAACTTCAACTGGCGTATGACCCAAAGACTACCCCCTAAAACCTCCTCTAATCTTTGAACACTGGCCTGGGAACACTTCGCACTTCGTCAGAACTAGGCAAACTTTTTGCCTACGTTTCAAGGATTCACTGTGCATTAAAAAAAACACACACACACGCACAGATACTAGTGAATTGTAACAACTCATTATATTACAAAATGAGGTTATAAAATATACATACTGTCAACACCCTAAAGACTTAACTGTATACACTTTATCATAGACTTTATTCATCATTCATACTGAGCTAGAACAAATACGATGCAGGCTGAATTGAACAATTTAACTTCTCCAATTGTTTTACTAATGGAGAAGAACAAAATATTTGTATTTATATTTTGCGTTATTGACGGATTCACTTGACCGAATTTTTACAAATTTAAAATTAATTTGAATAAAACAGAGTGACGGAAGTTGAGCGTTATTTAAAATAGATAGCTGTCTGTGGATGAGGAACTTACGATAGTAAACACGTTTGACTTAATGAAATGTGACGGCCAGGATAGGAATGGGGGTTTTAGATAGGAAACCAAATTATAGCGGTTCTCGGTCTGAAGGGACGAGATGAGCCGATGTCGGTGTTGCAACGCTAGACTAACAGGTTCTGGAGAAGGATAGAAATAGAGACATTTACGGCAACTCAACTCTGACAGATATAGAAAACTGAGACTAATACCATGGTCTATAAACCATACATTCATGTTAATACGTCTGTTAAGTAATGATAAATACGTGTATACTCAATGTAAATACTTAAGTCAATAAGTATTGTGAATGTGCTCCACTGAAATAGGTTCTAGCTAGTAGATGAATGAATTCAATTGTTACGAATTTCATGATTTAGTTTTGTATTCACCTTGAATACTAACCTTTGCGGTCGAATGGCGAGTATAGGTCGCCGCCCGCCTTTTTGCC